CATTCTCTTGTTAAATCTCGCTGATATAACTTGGTCTCAAGTTATTAACTGCGTGACCCCAAGAGCGGTCGTGGGTACGGTCCCATGCTTCGCCATCTGTGGAGTAATGTTCAACAGATGGCGCTTTTTATTATTTCATATGAACATGAATACTATGGAAGCGTGGGACTCCACTCTCACCCACTCTTGGGGTCACGCAGAACGTTAATAACTTGAGACCAACTTACATCAGCGACAGTTAACAAGAGAATGTATAATAAGTGTAGCGCCATCTGTTGACTAAAACCATATGGAAAACCACGAAGTGGAGTTTAAATGTAGCGTCTTACTATCTTATTGGGCTGTGCAAACCGCTGCTCTGAAGAAAGTTAATCACTTATGGAGTAATGTTCAACAGATGGCGCTACAGATGAAGGTAGAGTCCCCCGCTTCCACAGGATTAATATGAAATAAGAAAGTAGCGCCATCTGTTGAACATTACTCCACGGATGGTGAAGCATGGGGCCGCTTTCACGGTATTCATATTCATATGAAATAAGAAAGTAGCGCCATCTGTTGAACATTACTCCACAGATGGCGAAGCATGGGATTGCTTCCATGGTATTCATATTCATATGAAATAAGAAAGTAGCGCCATCTGTTGAACAAACCTCCACAGATGGCGAAGGGTGGGACCGTACCCACGACCGCGCTTGGGGTCACGCAGAAAGTTAATAACTTGAGACCAAACTAAATCAGTGAGAGTTAAGAAAATATGAAATAAAACTTCAGCGCCATCTGTTGAACAGATGTTGTAATGTTCAACAGATGGCGCTACAGTTCTTTTCAAATTTGTTGTTAACTCTCTCTCAGTTAGCTTGGTGGAGGGACTGTTTTGGAAGAGACTGTGGACCTGTCGTCTGACAGATTACTGATGAATGAATGAATTACGCACAGAACAGGAAGATACAGGAGAGATGCTAGGAAGAGAATGTCATTTACTTACACATGTTTACATTATCACCAACATTTTTAATAATCTTGTTTTCAACAGCAACACAACATCCTTTTGCGGTGATACATCATCACGGGCCCTATCTCATAAACATACGATATTTTAGAAATGTCAGTGATAATAAACAATCAAGTGACCATTCTCAGATATAAGGCAATGTCACAAATTTTGTTAGGGTCAACTGAGTGCAAGTGATTAAATACGGCTGTTTAAGAGGTCCTTCACTCAGAAGATCAAACATCATCTAACTAAAACATCGAACAGTTAATGTCGGATTTCATTTTGTATAAATAAGAGCTGTATTTCCTTCCTGTAAACAGTTATTCCTTCCAGCATCAACACTGTTATCAAGATAGACATCCTATTTGAATTGCAATTTTCATCCCTTGATGCATTTAATTTAAAATCATGATTCCTTAAAATAATGTAATGATAAGTAATTTACCCCAATATTTCAAGAACATTCCATTCCAAAATAACAAAGTCACATACACACACACAATTCAAACAATAATTTTTTGATACAGAAGACTTCTGACACACATACAGTATGACGTCACCATCAGAATCTACGCGGTCTATGCTTATGATATCAACGTCCTTATAGTATGAACAGACTGACACGCATTCAGAAACTCAGTCAACAGCCTGTGACTCCACATTAAAAGTGGCGAAAATGCAGGACCATGCACTGGGCTTGGCTTATAGACTTCAAAACGATACAGTCTTTACATTGAAGTGATAAGTAAACGGCTAGTTTTAAAACAGTGACTTGTTCCATTACATCCACTTAACTTATTAAGTATTAGCCAATACCACGTATGTGTACGATGTACTCCCAACTTGTACACGTGCTATGCTTTATTTTCTAAGCAACCAACCTGTACACGTGCTATGCTTCATTCTCTAAGCAACCAACCTGTACACGTGTTATACTTCAATTTATAAGCAACAGAACATTATGATGCATGTTGTACGTTCAGCTTATACATGTCCTTTGCTTAATTTTTTAAACAGCAGGAAGATATTACGAACTTTATGCGTCTACCTTGTACGTGCCCCCATGGCCCTGCAATTTTACCTTATTCATCATGTTCTGAATTTCTTGTTTGATAAATGTCATGGGTTATTCCACAAGGAATTTGAACATCAACAAGTTCATTCGAGCAAATCAGCTGCCCATACATGCTCATTATCCTTTATGATTAGCAGCGTTAGGCCTCTATTACAAAAATGTTGCATACTAAGTCTACAGCATTGTTAAAATATGACACAAAATATCATACATACTGAAAACTGTTAACATATTCTTACAACCAGATGTATGCAAAATAAACCAGGCCACAATTCACTGTGGCTTCCTCGCTTGGACGAAACATGTTTTGACACCCCTTAAGAGAATATTTACATTATACTCAGGAATTCGTTACAATTGGATATAGTCAATTTCCTGTACAGAAGTGTCAATGGGCATCATATTTGGAGTGTGGTTTAACGTTTTATTTTCTTATTGTTATTTGAAGATATGATTAGTGCATGTTCATGGTTAACTGGTAAATTCAATTGCCGGAAAGCCACCAATGAGTTAGTCGTGACTGTTGATTGATGGTGGCACACGTTTCTTCCATTGTTCTTCCATAGAACAAATACATTTGGAACAGATATTTCGCGTGTAGCATGGACAGGGTTAAACCAGAATTTCAAACCCAAACTTATCATTTGAGTAGTAATATGAATTTCAGAGCATTCTGACATTCAGAAACGACGCAGTTCCCAGCTTAAATGGGTCACGTTTCTTTTCAACTGAAGCGTTTGTAACCTGATTTTGACATATCTGTAGTTACTGACTTTGTTCGAAAATGTAAGTTACCAAAATTAAGGTTTAATCAAGCAACAATGTTAAATGTATCCATTTCACAATCTGGGAGAACACATTCTTCCCTGTATGAAATAGCTCAAAATCATGACAGTATCACTGGCACGTTTTATGTAATGTTTTCTTTCTCCCATACGATACAGCCAACACGTTACACTATTGTATATAAATCAGCACGAGCACAAGTCCTTGCATTTCGATCGATAATAAACAGCCACATATGACGTTGCAGCTGATTACAATAGTTTCATAGGTGTTTGTTAGCATTTAGGAAACAACATAGCATCTTCTTGTTGATGAAGCTCTTTGAAATGTATGATTGACACCACAATTCCTGTTTCTTGTTAAATTTTAATTTAGAAACAAAACTAAAACAACACTCGATGATGGTTTTTAACACTCACAGGTCACAACCAAAATCATCCAATTACAGGTTATAAAATATGTTCCTGTAAACTTCTGAATCATAGTTGTTGCTTTACCAACGTATTCTGTTGATGACACCTGGCAGTGCGACGTTGGTAGGCAAGTTTCCTTGGAAGACATTTCTTGAATGCATTGATGAGTTTATTGTAAACACGTGCTTCCCTTTTCCCTGTTGGAAGAGAAAATATTGTTAGTTTTCCGCTAAGGAGATTTTATCTACCCGTCTGTCTGACGCGTGGGTCCCTAACTGAAACACTGCCGGAGAAATAGATAAGTTTTTCAGGAAGGCATCCAGCTCATAAATATGTAACAATTTACTTTCCGGATGAAAAGCCGATGAATATCTTACAGGCATAATTTACATGGACACTGTTAATAAAGAATTATATTTTAATATTCGTTTTACAGCTGGAGTATATATATTGTTGTCAATATAGTTCTTGATTTGAGAAAATATGCCAGAGTACGTATGGATGTTTATCCGCTACAGGCAAATGCTAACATTCTATTTACAAGAACAGATGCCCTTCATAGGGGCCCCCGAAAACAAAATGGAAATTTTGTTGAAGAGGACTCTACAGGATTTTGATCGATTCCAGTCATTTATAGAGGCTGTGCCTTCAGGCATAGTCACTAGCGCCCTCAAAGCGAAATGTGTTTTCTCGTAAACGAGCCACAATTTTGTTAAAATGTCCTTCATTTTTGAAGTCCAAATCTTTGAACACACCTGCACAAGATGCATAACGAAGAAAACAAAGTTATACGCCCGAATGGCACAAACGCATATATGAGAAAATAAGTATAGTACCTTGGATTTCTCTGATGTTTACGATGCTCAGAATTTTGGGGGGCCTACACAGCTCCTATACAATATCCAGAAGGAACTTGCCCCATGAATAATGCGGCCGAAGCGCAAAGTTAACCAGTCAGTTTCAAGTAGTTCGGAGATTAAAAATGGATGGATCTATACCTCCGCTCCCCTTACGCCCCCGTGGAGCGGTGCTTTATTTAAGAGCGGGGATAAATTTACGTTTTGTAATTCCAGATTTACGAAGCTTCACATCATTTCTATTGAAAGACCTGCCTTCCATCCGAAATCCTAACCTTTATGCAGATCTGGTGAGGTATGTAAATGCCGGAATTCCAAGTGACTCCGCGATCCACATTTTCTCCTGCCTCTCGAAAATACTAAAGCGTGAGAGATAAGCCACTGTGCCAAGTACGTAACTGGATCCCTTGGCACAACGTCCATTATGGAGGACGAGTGAGAAATCCTGTTGCATTACTACAAAAGTCGAGCCTTACGTGAATACAGACAGAAGAATTCCAATGCTCAGATTTCTGTATAAACAACTGAATCTAAAAACTGAATTAATATTAAGTTTATCAACAGTTTCCTTGCTACGTAATTTGTTTAAAAATTTTTACATTTTTCGTAATTTCATTGTTGGATGAGGTTCTCAGTGACTATGAAGACTACAATCTTCTGTCTGTTTAGTCGTTTAGAAACCCACCAATATTTCGGAGGAACGCAATGTGTCCATCTTCAGGCGTTGCCTCGAACTTCTTGCTTTTTTTTTCTTGGCTTAGGGGGGCCTATACACGTACGAGTCTGGCTCGCTAGTCCGACTCGGCTCGGGTTCCAATGAGCCAAACTCGTCCGTGTGTGGTGAAATTAAGCCGAGCACAGCTCCTCGCCTTAGTATTCTCAAACAAATACTATCCTCTGAAAATTCCATGGACTATTACTGAACTACACGGAGTTATATCAAGACTATATTTCAAGACTGTTGGAACTGCGATTCAGGAATGCCTCGTTTTATTGCTCTTCGCAGATACTGCGTTTTTCACAAATTGAAGGTCGAAGAGTAATTTCGACTTTCAAGTCTTATTATTTAAGAAATATATTTCGTATGGCAATAGACAGTGACTCCAATGATGCATCTGAGCAAAGTATATTGAAAACCTTCTGGAAAGGAGTTACTACAGGATTCTGACGATGGTGTATAACACACAGAGATATTGGGTTTTCGGACTTTATCCATCGTCCTGGTTTTAAGATAACTAAGAAAAACACGACGTTTCGGAAACTGGATCTGTTTCCGTCCTCAGGTGAAGGAAAACACCTATTCTGTTAGGTCCCTTAGAAAGAGCTAGCCTCAATCACTGGACAAACCGATGTCACAAAACACAAAGGTTATAAACACCTCAAACATAACAGAATAGGTGTTTTCCTTCACCTGAGGACGGAAACAGATCCAGTTTCCGAAACGTCGTGTTTTTCTTAGTTATCTTAAAACCAGGACGATGGATAAAGTCCGAAAACCCAATATCTCTTCTGGAAAGGATTGGCCATTCCAGACGCCATTAAGTACACACGTGATTCACGGGAGGTGAAAATATCAGTGTTAACAGGAGTTTGGAAGAAGCTGATTCCAACCATCATGGATGACTTTGAAGGGGTTCAAGACTTCAGTGGAGGAAGTAACCCATGGCATAACTTTAACGGATGAAGAGTTGCTTCTTATGGATGAGCAAAGGAAGTGGTTTCTTGAGATGGAATTTACTCCTGGTGAAGATGTGAATATTGTTGAAATGACAACAATACTTAGAATATTACACAGGCTTATTTGATAAAGCAGCGGCAGGGTTTCAGAGGACTGATTTCGGTTTTGAAGGAAGTTCTACTGTGGGTGAAATGCCACAGTCGACTCAACCTTCAGCAACCACTACGCAGATCAGTCGGCAACTATCAGAACCTCCATCAGCACAAAGATTACGACTCGCTGAAAGCTCAGATGATGATAAGAATTTTTAATTAAGGCACGTACATTGTTTTAGTCATATTCGTAATGCTACTGCACACTTAACATACTGGTGTAAACATAACTTTTATATGCATTATGAAATCAAATCATAGGTATGACTAGCTTATTGCGATGATCTGAAACGTACGCCCGTACGTGGTTACAACTGTTGAGAGACGAATAATATCCGTGTACTGCACAGAATATAGATACTGCAGTTTTTTTAGATTGCATGGAAAAATCCCGCAAATTTTAGGGACGCGTATATTTTTATATTGCTAGTGGGGTGGGACTAAGTCCCTTGTACTGCGGCCACTTCTGGCCTATTGTACCAGCCCCAGATGATAGGCGAGGGTGATTGTGGAGCAATTGGTGGAAAGAAGACTGGTAGGGGAAACCGAAGTACTCGGAGAAAACCTACCCCATCACCACTTTGTCCACCATAAATACCACTTGATCAGACCCGGGATCGAACCCGGGCCACCGCGGTGGATAGAGACGCGTATATGCGAGGTAGCAACAGAACACTGTTGATTTAATTTTGTGGGTTACCTGTCTCTTCCATAGCAGTTTGCCAGACTGGAACATCTCAAACTTGACTGTGAGTGAACTCCATTGTACTGGCAGTATTGACGTCATCTCATACGCAGCTTTCGGGCAGCCGGTTGGCCATTAGCCGCTCTTTGATGGCTGTGCCGTTGAGCTCCACGTCCGCGGAGGCTGCCACACTTGAGGATGGAGCAGCTGATCCTAGCGCCTGGCTCGGTCCGCCAGGTAAACGGAGATCTTTGGGCCGGATATCCCACGAGTACGCTGACATTCCCGAGGCAGGAAACTGATTGCACTGGAACAGAAGATGGTTCAACGTGGCGTTGTGAATTCGCAGTGTGTTTTTTAAAGTTAACCCTGTGGGGTCTAGGATTTTCTCTTTCCACGTCGTCAGGACCAGTTCTGGGGCTCACTCAGCCTCTTATTCAATGGGTACTGGGGGCCCTTCACCCGGGGGTAAAACAGCCGGGGTGTAAAGCCGACCACTCACCTCCAACTAGTGCCGAGGTCAAGAAAGCGTCGATCTGTACATCCACTCCCCCATACGTCTTCATAGCGTAGTGCTTAAGTGGTTGAGCACAGGGAAACTTTACTTTTATCATCTACTCTACTAACTAGGATGTGACACCTTGTGTAAGAAAACTTACGTAAGAAAAATTCTCCGTGTAAGTTTCCCATCAGCGCATAAGCATTGGAACTATGTTGAAAGTAGACTCTAGTATCTTTTTAATGGCCGATCACGGCGGCCGCGCTGCTTAGACATGAACTTCTTCGTTCACTCGAACGCTGGGATGGTGGGTTCGAACCCCACTCAAGACATGAATGTCTGTGTATGCATTTATTCTGTTTTCTGTTGTCCTCTGTGTAGGCAGCGTCATTGTGACGGGCTGATGACTCGTCCAAGGAGTCCTACCGTCTGTGTAAATAAGATTACGAAACTGAAGAAGAGGCCAGGGCCCAACAAAGGGCTGTAGGGCCATTAATGAATGAAAGAATGTAAGTTTTAATTATGACGTAACCTTCTGAGTCATTTCAAGACGATGAAGCGCCCTCTTTCCCGTTTTAGTTGGAGATAAGTGAAAGCGGTGCCCTGCCTCATCAGCTGCTGGGCTGACAGTAACTGACATAACCAGATGCTAATTAACTAAATGGTTCACACATGATTTGATTGACCATCTACTTCACCAACTACCTTAAAACGTAAATATTGTTCACTAACAGAATGACTAACAAACGGCGTGATCAATCTTTTGCTTGATTTCCTCCGTATGTCCATATTGGTGTGTGCTCTGTAATATGTGTAGGTCATCTCCTGAGTCCCGTTTGTTAAATTTAATGTTTCTTATATGTTCCTTGTACCTGGTTTTCCCTGTTTGTCCGATATACTCTTTCTGGCAGTCTAGGCATGTCAGTTTGTACGAGTATATACCACTATGTTCGTATGCATGGCTTGTAAATATGTTTTAAAATGTGTTATCTATTGTGTTGATTATTTTAAATGACAGTGCCATACAGGTATCTGTGCCTTCAAGCAGCATAGCTTACATACGAACATAGTGCCCTGTGCATATGAATGTCACTCATTTGTGTTTCACCTTCGTGTCGTGGTCTTCTTCCTCTTTTATTAACAGACTGTATAAGATTATCATTTGTTCCTTTTTGTATCCGTTGTTTTCTGCTATGTTTCATATGGTTTGTAATTCTTTGTATTTTCTGTGTTATTAAGTGGTATTCTGAGTAACTTGTGATTCTAGTTTTTGAATATGGTCCGTTTGTGCTCGCTTGGGATGCACGATGAATTATTTACTCTGATATCCGCTGTTGTAGGTTTTCTATAAATATTTATTTCTAAATGTCCCCGTTTGTTTAACATGTTTAGGTCTATTAGTGACATTTGATTGTATTTCTCTTAGGTTATTATATATTTCAGTACTCTGTGTTCTTTTATTGAACTGTTCAAGTAATATTTGCTGCGTGATTTTGTTGTGACTGTACATAAGGAGAGTATCACAGGATACGATGTTTCTGCTGTATAATACGTGTTTAAGTACTTGTTCGAGGTTTTTGATAAAAATTTTGGCCATCATGCCCGACAGGGGTGAGTCAACAGCGATACGTGGCTTTGGTTTGTAAAAATTCCCTTTGTACTGAATACAATTTTGGTAATCCTAGGAAATGATGGGGGAAAAAATGCTATATTTACTCCAACGAACATTACTATAAATAGTGCTTTTAGCCATTAGGGTTTAAAGTTAAGGTGGCCCTGAGGGTACTTGTCAATTTTTAATCGTTTTTATGTCCGTGTTGTTCTATTTATGGCGTTTAGTTGCGATGTTTATGCTATTTTTGATTGAATACTACACGATGAACATCACAACTAAACACCTTAATAATGGGAGGATGTTGTCTGGCCTACTTCAACATATTTCATCCTTTGCCAGGAAGAAATGTAGAGGAATCTCGGTCATCACAGTCGGGTTCCGGACGAGATTCGAACAGAGAAATTACCTAAGAGCAATCAATGCATTATCAGTCTGCTAACCAGCCCTGTATATAGTGGCAGTTGTACTGATATGCGATCCATGTAACTATCCCTCGATATTTCGGTGAAAATTTTCGATTGATAATTGGGCAAATTAATTGAGTTGGTTAATTACATATATTAGATAACTGATGGAATCCGTAATATTACTAATTTACGTTCCATTATTTCCCCAAGTAACTGCCCTCTCTTGTTACAAAAGGTCTGTCATTGTATAATAGGAGCTATAGAGCCGTATCACAAGTCAGTTCATTTCACATCACATTCTAACAACTGTATTTGTGATCCCTGTAACAGGCCGTCGAGGCTACCATATTTTCTCTAGACAATCTGCTCACAGATGGCGGCAAGGTTGTCAGCCTTACGCGCCGGCCATCTTTTGCCCCCCCCCCCAGGAAGACACCTGGTACTCATTTCTGTTAGAGTCTGAGTCGACCCCAGGGCCATAGTCAGCTGGAAGGAATAAGTTAATCGAAAAATTAATTGGGAACGGAACCCGCTACTTTCCAGGTTGTAGCATAGTGCCTCAACCAACTACGCTACCGCGTGCCCCATAAATTTGTGATACCTGTTATTAGTGATATCAGCCTCTTTGTTAGAAGCGGCTTCTGAAGGTTTCCTTTGCAGGTTTCATGCAATCTAACCCGTCCATTTTCCGCCGAACTACGTGGTCCCCATCTGTACCTAATAAATTTCAGTTCTGCAGCAGCAGTTGGAGACAAACGTAGTGCATTCTATTTTATTTTTATATTTCTTGCGAAGAAGAAATAAAAAACTGTCCATGAACTTTAGTCCTTGTATATTTTTTTTCCTTGGCACTACAGCCCCAGTGGGCCTACGCCTATCTCCATGAACTTCTCCGTTCACTTCGGTTTTTCTAGATCTCACACATACGTTAGGACTCCTTGGGCGGGTGATCAGCTCGTCGCAAGGCCTCTACCTGTACATAAACACAGAAAAACGCACACAAACATCCATGCCCTGAGTGGGATTCGAACCCACGATCCCGGTTTCCAAGCGAGCGAAGATAGTACATGCCTTAGACCGCTCGGCTACCGTGACCGGCTTAGTCCTTATATACTGGTAGAAATTACAGACGTTTCGAAAGAAACAAAGAACTTGTCTATGAGCTTTACTCTTTAGGCAGCGTCTACATGCTGAGTTTTTTCAACAGCAAGCTGCTCTCTCTCTCTCTGTCTACTGCTCTCTGAGTACTGCCTGTGTGTCTGTCCTGGTCTACTCTGACTTCCCCTCGCAGCTTCCGAAGAACCCTGTTTTACCGTTCTGTTACTGTGCTTTCGTAACAAGCCATTGTAGATCCCGTGGAAACCAATTCTGCTTAGTGAATCCTTGTCACAGAGATGCATATTCGGTGCTATGCGTTGGAATTGGAACGCGTTTACCTAGCAATGACCATTTTTCCTGATTCCACTACTCCAGCTTTCAGGCGCCGCGTCACAATATGAATCAAAGAGAAATGGATTGGGCAGGGTACAAGAGCAGGTATGACACCTTGGATTCTGTAAAATCTGCCAAGTTGAATCACTGTCAGCTGTTCGGTTAAGACCATCATATTCGAATTTATAGGTTCTGACGATGCTGTATAATACACAGAATTTCTAGGTTTTGGGACTTTTTCCATCGTCCGATATTCTATAAAATAGAAAACTAGACGTTGCGGAAACAGATCCGGTTTCCGAAACGTGGTGTTTTCTATTTTCTAGAATATCGGACGATGGGAAAAGTCCGAAAATCTAGCAATTTTGTGAACTGTAATCTGATTTTCTATATTAAGTTTTTTCTTGATTTCAAATGTTCCATAAAAAATATAAGCTTAAAATTACGTCCCAGAAACTTGATGTACTGCTTCTTGAGCTCCGCGCTTGAGTAGAGGGGAGAGGTTTATCATGTTACATGTTTTAATCTAAAAAGGAGCGTCATTTCCATTATGAGTCTTAGAATCATTTTCCTGTAGTAAAACTCGTATCAGATTACCAAGTTTTTTATCCCAGATACAGGTACGTGTCTCGTAAAGAAACCCTTATAAAAATCTCCTGCGATAAAGTGTTTAGACTCATCTGCGTCACTTATTCGCGACTGACAAGAAATTCAAAACGTAAATGCAATACAACTTCCTCCTTTTATCAGCAGAAATTCCTCTACACGGGATGTAATAACTGAACTGAACAAGTAACGCTCGAGACTTGTATTCGGAAGGTACTGGGTTCGACAGAAGTTAGGGTCACTGAGTTTGTTCGTAACTTTCCCCAGGCCTTCCAAGGCTATACTGGGATAATACCTGAATTAGATTCTCACCGCCTTCTTCCACATTCCCAGCCCATCATTCAACACATATCCTAACATCCAGCACTCTACTAGCAATAACAGCAGCTTCGCAATGCAGACCGTAAGCAAAACATATTCGACATATCCCCACATAACTATGACATGCGCAGCTCTCCAATACGCCTATAGTAACGTGAGATATCAGCAACGTAATAGACACATAAATAGGTGTCTAGAGACATCGCTACTCCCAGGGAAATGGGTTTCGCCACCTCAGAAAATCGACCTACTTTCTATTGTACACATGCACCCAGTAAGACGCCAATTTGTTGTCCTTGATGTGCTGAGGGTGTTTGAGAACAGGGTGTTGAGGAGAATATTTGGACCGAAGAGAGATGAAGTGACAGGAGGTTGGAGAAAACTGCATAATGAGGAGCTTCATAACTTGTACTCTTCTCCAAGTATAA